GTTGACGGAGGAGCAGAAAAACGTTCGAGTTTTGCGCTGTGAAGAATTGTTGGCCTTGTGCCACCTTCCACACTGAGATAAAAGTTTAGTTCTGCACCATTGTATTCAATTCGAAAGCGAAAAAGCACTATCATAACCTTATATAGGAGTGGTTAATGAAGTTCCAAAGATTATTTGGGATCCGATGAAAGTATCAATATCAAATCACACTCAAGTATTTGAACGATTAGATAATGAAGTTAAATACGTGAAAGTGCAACATTGAAAGATCTATATTTCAATAATATTTCCGAACATGCTAGTTTAATGATTGCTTAATAATCATGGTAATATTACTAATAATTTCATACGGAAATATGTTGTTAGACAATGAATGCATGGAATAACCTTCGCAGGTCCCTTGCCATTACTATAAATTTTAACAGTTAAGATACAAAATTAATAATAAAATGAATATGGTCGAGTTCCCCGACAGATCATGTATCATATACCCGTACTTAGCTAGTGGAAGTGCGAACGAGAAATTTCAAAATTTTCTGGAGTATCGGTAAAAAAAATAAAATTAAAAAAAAAAATATTTTTGTAAAGTGTGGGCCTAAGAGTGTTGGTCGGTTTGTGGGCGTGACAAGAAGTTTTTTGGCAATCTATACAAATTTACAAGATATAAAACAAGTGAAAAAATATCACAGCATTTTATGAAAGTGTGGCTGATTCGGGCGGTTTGTGGGCGTTGGAGTGGACGTGGAAATCTATAGAAAATCTATAGATAAATCTATAGAAATTTACAAGATATATTAAAAAATTAAAGAATAAAACATTTTTCAAAATTGTGGGCGTGACGGTTTTGAGCGGTTTATTAGCGTATAAGTGGGCGTGGGAAAACGTTTTTTTTGCCAAATCTGTAGAAATTTAAAAAATATGTAAAAAAAATTAAAAAATATCCAAACATTTTTCAAAAATTTTGTGGGCGGTTTGTAGGCGGTAGAGTGGGCGTGTCAAAAAGTTTTTCGACAATGTATAGAAATTTACAAGACTAATAAAAAAGTGAAAAAATATCACAACATTTTTCAAAAGTGTAGCCGTGGCAGTTTAGTGCGGTTTGTGGACCTTAGAGGGGGCGTGGCAACTTTTGGAAATAAACTTGCGCTGCGTCTGTGTCTCTGGAAACTGCATGCTTAGTCTCAACGTTTTTTTTTTGTAGTTCTCGAGAATGTAGTGACCAACTTAACTTTACACTGCAACAACTCTTCAAGACACCCTCGCCCTAAATTATAGCAGCTTTTGTGTAAAACAAAAAGCGAGAGAATTGTCTTAGACCAATCAGGATAGAATATGATCGTACGATTATACAGTTAGGAAAAGAAAAGCTATAACAGCGACCACCAGCATGCAGCTTCCCAGAGCTTGATTCATTATCGGATAAAACTTCGTGGCGAACGCTCACAATTTTTGACGCTGCCCATTTAAACTTCGCATACACGTGAAATATAATTAGTTATATATATATCCAATCTCATAAAACAAGAGTGGGATATTTCAATAAATTTCCGTGTTCGATTCGTGTGAAAGTGGCAACGAGATTCGACCCCAAGGCGTAAGGAAGGCCCGGCCTATATAAGAGCATTTGGTTGCTATACAGCTCGACAATGTCAACGTGAACTTGGGCCCAACTTTACGCACATCATGGAGTGGATATTTAAGGTCGTGAGTACTACAACAACAATGATAAAAACATTATTATGAATTACCTATATTAAAATTCTAACAAAATGCCACTCGAACGTCTAAATAAAATAATATCTGCATTTGACTAAGGATTATGTAATTATATTTGCTAATTGCTTATAACTATTTGCATTGTACTTTACTTTTATATACTTTATTTTACCCACTGAATATAAACAAAAAATGAAGAGTTAGAGAATGACTAGGATAATTATGCGTAGATTAAAATATTGTTAGTTCGTAAAAGAGATTTAATGAAACCTTTTATTAAACTGAATTTATATAAATGGAATTATGATTGAAGATATATTGAAAAATAATGAATTGTGAATAAATAGATTTAATGGTTTGTCGAGTACTTATGTTGAACACTTTCTTAAATATGTGGTAGAGTTATTTTGGAACTTGGCCAAGGGACAATGTAAATATTTTAAGTAGCGTTGTCATGGTAGGGAGGGTAAAGACTTAGGGAATTATTAACATCCAAAATTCCCAATACTTATAGGAATCTATAGCTTATCTTCACACGTGTCGGCGTGTATCATTAGTATCAATATAAAGCCATTTCTTTTATTAATCGGTAGTCCAGTTTTGAATATTGTTTATGAGTAAGACGCACTTATTAAAATGTAGTAGCGTTTCGTACTATCCTAGCTAAAAGAACCCCGACTTACGGCGAGCTAGACCCGAGCATAGCAAGAGTGCGCATCCCTAGCGAAGGAAGTACAAGGTCCTCTTTATTAGTAATTACCACCCACTATTAAAAGACCAACTAGTTAAAAATCTATCGAACTACGTACACTACAAGAACGAGGCGTTCATACGGATGACGGACATACGGACATGGTCAGTTCGATTCGGCTATTGATCCTGATCAAGAATATACATATATACTTTATATAGTCGGAAACGCTCTCCTGCCTATTACATACTTTCCAACGAATCTAGTATACCCTTTTTTTTTTAAAGAAAAATGTACTTCAAAATATTAAAAGGGAAATGTTTAAAATAAGTTATATTTAGTCCAATTTACCTTTGGCTCTTTGGCAGAATATTAACATATGATATATTATATATTATATAAGAACAGCCGCCATGCTTGTTTACTTGCATCTGTTGTTATACAATAATCTTTCTCGAAATCGGGAAACTTTAATAATGTTGGCTTCATTAATTAACCTTTTAAATATTCAAAGGCTTTTTGGCATTTATCTGTTCATTCGAATTTTACATTATTTTTACGTAATCATTTTATGTGACGTGAATAATCGGAAAATTTTTTTAAGCAACGAATCTTTTACCGCTGTCTGCGTCCTGTGAAAGGTAACTTAAACCGTATGGTAATCGCGTGAAACGATGAGAGCCATTGTTCATTGAAGAAGACGTTATATTTCTGGAATTTTCTTCGAGTTCTATTTGATGAAAACCTGACATTAAATCTACAAGACTCTTTTAACTCTTCCTAATTGATCAAGAATCTGATCATCTATCCTTGGTAATGGAAATTTATCGGATAGGATTTTTTTATTGATTTGGCGATAGTCAATTACTAACCGCCATATCTTATCAGTATAATCTAGTAAAGCCTTTTCCAAAATGGACTGTTATATTCAGAGACTATTTTGTATTTTATTAATTTGCTTACTTGTTTGTCTACTTCTTCTTTTTAACTATGTGGGATTCGGTAGTTTTATATATATATTGGCTTCTTATCCTTTATTCTTATTTTATTCTTTATTCTTAATTGTTATTGTTAGTGTTGCAGTTATTGGTTCCACCCCGGTTGTTCCCTCTGTAATTTCCTCGACCTCTATTGTAGTTGTTAATGGTGCCTTTTTTAATCATTTTAAATTTTCTTTGCTCTTTTTTTCTTATTTTTTTATTTTCAACAGAGCAGATTTCCTCTTATTTTTTTGTTTAATTTTAGACTTTTTCTAAGTCGTCTGACCAACTTTTCCATTTTCTTTTTGTTAGACATTTGTTGTGGAAGAAATAAGTTTTAACAATTAGGTATCCAGGCAATATAATGACAATTATTAGTAACAATATATTTGGCAAATATAGATCTATGTTTATTAAATTATTTACTTTATTTATTAAATTTGCAGTGGAGTCTTTTTATCGGCTAATGCCATTTGTTGTCGATATTATATATATATATCGACATATATAATATATCGATATTATATTATATACACACAGATATATACAACTGTACGTATAACGATTGAACCGCTGCGTCCATGTATTGTCAAACATTTGTCTGCATTTATGTGTTTGCGCTTCCAACATCTTGGTAGCTTAATTTTCCAATCAAAACATAATTTGGGAAACGTTAGACATTATATTTCTTTTGAATTTGCGCTTAGAATAGCGGCGTCAACAACATAGGTATTTGTCTGCGAAAAAGTTCGACGGCAACTATGCTTAGCGATCAAGAAACGAAAAGTGGGAGTAAAAAGAAACGACCTCCGCTGTCGGCTGATATGCATTGCATAGAAAACCCGAGAGAGCTGTTAATGCTGCGGCTGCGGCCTTACATTACATTAAGAATAGAGATAACATTGTTTAGTATTAAGTGTCTACAGAATTCGATTCCGCTGTTAAAAAATAAAATAGCTTTGGATGCTGTCGAATAAACAACGATAAAGCGTTAGATATTGATAGATATAGATAAATTACAAATTTGCTGGTGACTGCGAAGCCCGTCATTTAGTATTATTATTCTTATGGTTATGTTGATTGTAAAATATTTGAACGTTTATACTCGTTACTCGGGGAGTAAAGGGTATACTTGATTCGTTCGTAACAGGCAGGAGGAAACGTTTCCGACCATATAAAGTATATATATTCTTGATCAGGATCAATAGCCGAGTTGAACTGGCCATGTTCGTCTGTCCGGCCGTCCGTTGTCCGTATGAACGCCTCGATCTCGGGAACTACAAAAAGAATGTTGAGATTAAGCATGTCCAGAGACACAAGTTTGTTCCCAAATGTTGGCACGCACAAAATTGTCACGGCTACACTTTTGAAAAATGTTGTAATATATTTTCTTTTTTGCATATATTTTTTGTAAATGTCTATAGATTCGCCAAAACACATTTTGCCACGCCCACTCCAACGCCCACAAATACTATATACCTATACTATATACAACTAGCTGAGTAACGGGTATCTGATAGTCGGGGAACTCGATTATAGCATTCTATCTTATTTTCATTTCAATTTTAATTAACTTTACAAAAATTGAAAAAAAAAAATATTTACTTTCTTACCTGGGATGTGGTTAAAATCACTTTAGATTGCTTTTTTTCCGTTCCAGTAAATATCATTAATGAATTCAAGTTTGGAGAAAAAGATATTATAGAATCATATCCGTAAGTACATAAAATATTTCTTGAACGATGTTCCAGTAAATGAATACCCTTTTGGTCGACTGCCAGCCAAAGCGTTCTAGGCCAGTTTGTGGTAAAACTTTGCTGGAATTTATAAAAATAGTTTTTTAGAAACTACAAACATATGTAAAGTGCTTCACATTAAAAATATAGCATTTTTGATAGAAATTAAGTATTGCTTCTAAGTTTTTACACCCGATACCCGTACAGCAAAGGATATACTAGATTCGTTGAAAAGTATGTTACAGGCAGAAGGAAGCGTTTCCGACCATATAAAGTATGTATATATTCTTGATCAGGATCGATAGCCGAGTCGAACTGGCCATGTCCGTCTGTTCGTATGAACGCCTCGTTCATGCAGCTTTTTGAGACTTAGAGGCAGCGCAAGTTTGTTTCCAAGTTTGCCACGCCCACTCTAAACATAAAACGCTACGTCCACACTTTTGAAAAATGTGACATTTTTTATAAGTTTTTATATGTTTATAGGTTTGCCAAACATCATTTTGTCACGCCCACTCCAACGCAAACAAACCGCCCAAAACTGTCACGCCCACACGTTTAATTTTTTCATATATATTTCTCGGATTTCTGAATTCTTAAATACAGATAAGAACAGATCCGTTCAAAAATATGCCGATAAGCGAGTTATCACTTCCTACTACAGTCAAACAACTTCGACGTTTCCCGGGATTAACTATGGTTGACAATTATGCTTCTGTGGGTCATTCACTGATCGAGATGCTTAAGAAACAGAAATCGTAGTTTTGGATGTTTTCTAGCCTAATAAAATGTAGAGGGTCTCGAGATACCCGTTGGTTACATGTCCGTTAAACTCTCTAAAGCTCAGCGAAACCATACCGTCTCAGAACTAGAGAGTTCATAGAAAAAAATGGTACCTTCTGAATTAGTTCACAGCATTCTACAGCACGCTAGATGCTAGTTCAAATTATTGAATATATGAAGGATGGCAAGCAGACAAAAACACTAAAGATTCCTTGAAAATATATAAACATTTTGACATGATCATCAACCTGGGATCAAAGAATGAGATTGAATGAGATTAACGAAGCTATCCGTCTTCACACGACTACTGGATTTTCACCTTACATCCTAACCTTCGGACAAAACATAATTTTATGTGGTAAGGATTATCAATTGTTGCGAAAACTTAATCTACTATCAGATAACACGAGGTTAGTTTATCGTTATGCCGTACTGTTTGCTATATATGAATCTAAGATTAGAACTACGAGGGCACATGAGGATAAAGCAGAAATATACAACTTGAGGAGTAGAAACATCCAATTTAAAGTCGGAGATCAGTTCAGCCATAAATTAGCTCAAGTGAAAGAGGAACAAACTCAGAAAACAGTTTTTAAATCCATTACTAGATTCGTTGAAAAGTATGTAACAGGCAGAAGGAAGTGCTATTTGGCTAGCTCCGAGATTTTGTTTGTTCGACCCACCAAATTTATTATTTGTGTGATTGCCCCACCAAAGAGAAGACAGAGTTTTAGGTTCGAACAGCTCTATTGACAGACTTTTTCAACGATAGACTTCTTCAGTCCTCGCAGTCGGCTGCACGGCGTCGCTTCTTTGTCGTCCTTCCCTTGTTCTCGATCTTCTCCTGTCCTGCAACCTGTCCGCCAGCTCTTCGCTGATGAAACTTGCCGTGGCTCCGGTGTCTATCGTGGCCTGAATTTCCACTCCGTCTCGGGCCGTCACGGTCCTCGGGCCGATCCTCCCGCAAACCCAGCAAAAACTGAGCGGACGGTTCCGGCACTCCCGCGTCCAGTGATCTTGGCTTCCGCACCCATGGCAGGCTTTTGCCGGGCTTAATACAAACCCCCGCCGCACCGGGTCCGGCTCTCACCCGTTGATGTCGGACCCGTGGTGTCCTCTTGGCACCTCCTGTACACCGCGGTCTGCTCCTCTCTTGGAAAATCCCGCTGGTGGGGGGCCCTGTGAGTCCGCTCCAACTCGAACAGTTGCCTTTGGGTGTGCAGCTCTTCAAACTCGTACGGGCGAACAAACATGCGCAGGGCTGGGGTGCTGTTTTCCCTTATTCGCTCCAGCGTCTCTTTCTGCGACAACCCCAAGGGTCGCATGACGGTCTGCATGTTAACTATGTAGTATTTGAAACACTCGCAATGTCGGTGCATCCTCTGCCTGACCTGATCCGCTAGCTTCGTCATTAAGCCTCTGGGCAGAAAGAATTCCTGGAAGCTCTGAATGAACTCTGCCCATATCTCCCAGAACCTATTGTTGGCAATGAACCACTTCAGCAGTTCTAGAATGTCCAGGCCACATTTTATTAACCACTGACCACTCCACCTGCTCCAGGAATTCCAACAGCTTTTCGTGCTCGTCGTACCGGAAACTCCACTCTTGAACTTGCTTCGCCACCTTTGCGTTCTCGTCGTTCTTCCTTCGTCGTCCTTCCCTTGTTCTCGATCGCTTACCCGTGCCGGCTTGAATGGGGCTTAGGATAGGGAGGTGTATCGCTCGTTAGGTCAAGCTGACGCTCCTCCCCGAACCACCTTTGCCGACCAATGACCCCACCTTCCCTTCTGACCTTGCCAGGTTCATGTGCACTGCCCGATATCCTTCGTTGTTCTGGCCTAGGGCTTAGGATGTTATGGTGGAGAGGTGCCACGTCCGTATGTCTTTACATAACGCCCTGACTCCACTGACCCTTCTGACCGTGCCAAGTTCTTCACTTGCAGGGATCGTCCTCCTGCGTCTATCGCGTTCTCACTGACCGTTTCACTTTAGCCCTTCGCGTATTCTGGCTGCCCTTGACTCCTCCTGCATTCCAGCCTTCTTCGCTGCTGCTAGGCAGCTCTCCTGCACCTTAATTTGTGGTGAGTTTTAAGACTCCTTACAGGATCTACTGATGGAATATAGAATAATGATGATGATATAGAATGATGATGATTTATAGAATAAAAGCGCTCACGGGCAAATCGTTTCAAGTGTGTTCAAGAACAAGCATGTATATTTACCTGTAAAGCTAGATATTGGCATTGGAAATACCACAACCATGTATAAGCTGGAATTGTTTGACCAAACTTTGGGGCGTCACTCCCTCCACAATATATAAAATATCGATCAGACTTTATAAGCTCAAGTAGCGGTGAATTAGTTAAAGCCCATTTTAACCTCTGCCCTCTGGATCTAACAAACACAAACTTTAAAAAAAAGTCTTATCTTTACTGTGATGCCAGCATCGAAAATTAAAATAATATATTGTTGTGCCCGACGCCTTATCAAGGCTATCTGAAAACGAAATATCTGCATTGGACATGGCCCCTAAGGTAGACTTGAGCTCTGAAACTTTTCAGAATACACATACACTGCATTAAAAGCTTGTTGTCGAATAGGCCAGATAGATTATATACATTATTAAATAAATAGGTTTGTACATTCGTACAGAACACGCAGACGGCAATGAGGTCCACGATAAAAAGAGCCGGAAACCATTGATTCCAGAAACATTAAAACCGGAAATTCTTCTATAGACACACGATGGAGTTACTTCCTCCTATGCATGAGAGCAGAAGTGTTTTTTGCCTGTATTCCGTGAAAAATGAACTAGAGAAAACACCAAGTACATAATACTGGAGTTATCCAAATAGTGTGAAAAGACGCTAATCAAACTAAAACAAACAAAAAATATATTTAACTATAAATATATAATTCTGAAAAGTGCATATTTAATTTAAAATAATAAGTGCCACCCGAAATAAGCTCGAAAAATGAGCAGCGATCCAAAGAATGAGCGTAGAAGCTCCGTTAATCAAAGAAACGGCTGTTACTCTTACTGCTGAAAACGCGATACCAACGTAGATCACAAATCAACAAAGAGCAACCCGGCTCTATTTACTGTCGACAGCAATAGAGCGAGAATTCACCAATTCTGCTCGCCCCAACTCCTACATCATGGAACTACCAATGCCATATATAAGGGAAAAATGCTCTAACAACCTGGTCAACAAAATTGCTGCTCTGGTAGGGGGCGAAAATTTCCATGTTGTTTTGCTTATTAAATCTATAAGTTCAAACAAAAGTAGAACAATTCCGAAGAAGACTTCCAAACTGTGTCTTAAAACCTGAAGGAAACAAAACCAATATTCGACTTTCAAACCAATATTCGTCCTGCCTACGACAGCAATGCGCGGCAGTACAGCCTGTGCGCAAAGCCCTTTAGCTTTAGGGAAGTGCAGGAAGTTTATCGCCGAAATTTGGGCCAAAGTAAATTCGGTAGCTTTTCAACTCACAATTGGGTCGACAATTTGAAAAATCCCGAATTTTAACAAATTTGGTAATTGTTATTACCAAATTTAGAATTTACTTGGAGGTAGGCTCGTATTACATGAAGCAAATTCGAAGCTAATTCCCGCTTATATTACAATGTGGTTGGCATGTTGGGTTGTTGCACGGACTGGGAAGGTGGATGTTGTTGTGGGCATATCCGCTTTGGGAATCCAGGTTCGATAGTGTTGTCGGATGTTGTCATCGTGCACCTCACAGCGAAGGCTCCGTTGTAGAGGTACGACTCAATGAGCTTATGAGTGTACCAGGCAAGTGTTTTTTAATTTTATGCATGAGACTTTTGTGCCAGACGCGGTCGAATGCTTGACATACATCGAGGAACATCGCACTGGAATGTTCTCTATGCTCGAAGCCGGCGCGAATTTCCATTTACTTGGGTAGTAGCCGAGACTATTGATTCCATTAAAGAGTATACAGAGGTATACCACAGTACGGAAGTTCCAGTATTATTTTGCAGTTATTAGAGCCTGGATCCTTTTTTGTTTTTTATGACTTTTCTCGAACGGCCGAAATGATGTTGACGTAGGATCAGTTTCAGAGTGGGTTTGCGGAAGAATATAGACATTTGCAACGAATTGCGCTGTGTCTATATCTCTGGAAGCTTCTTTTATAGTTCCTAAGATTGAGGAATTCATACGGACAGACGGACATGGCCAGATCGAGTCGTCTATTGATCCTGACCAAGAATATATATACTTTATATGGTCGGAAACTTTTCCTCCTGCCTGTTACATACTTTTCAACAAATT